TGAGCCAAGTATTGGTGGCGAGATGTTTTGGTGGTGCCCTCTTATGGTTCCCTCTCGTGACGTCATTACCTTGCGAACAACAACTTCGATGGTGCTTGTAATGAGCATGGTCAAAGTTTAAAATCATCGAGCTCTGAAACCAACATCCAACACCTGCAAATTTGAAGTTCATACATTGCTCTTATTTCTGTGGATGAGATAGCCTTTGCTGACGTCATAGTCAGCATTCAGTTAATCATGGAAGACTGACCACAGCAACGCTTTTGATCGCGCACGTCGCCAATAGTTTGTGACAGGCAGCGTTACTAAAACAACTCAGTTGCGAAACTGCCATAGAGCCTGCATAGGAAAACTGACTCCGATCCGTACTCGAGAACCAAAGTAATGGCGATCGCAATGTTGCCATTTCTCCCGCAGCAGGTACTCCGGGAACTGCACGGCTGCGCGTATTGGTTGAGGTGGAGTCGCGCCAGGGCCTGTGGCGCCATCTCGGAGTGCTATTTCGCAGTATCTATATAAATAAACCTTCATGTTTTGACTCGTCGCTAAAGGGCGGCGCTGGTGTCGTATTTAGTTTGGTCTCGGTGGACGCGAGCGGTCGGGCTTTTAAGGGTAAGTTTCCCGACTGAGTGTTTTAGTAAGGGTGGTGACAAGTTAAGAGTAAAGTGGAAGCTCCCCCCCCCCCCCCCCAACCTCTCTTTCCTTTGGAAGAGCGAACGCTGGAGTGGAGGCGACCTCCTCTCCAGCGTTCGCTCTGCTGTTGGAAAGAGGTGGATTCCACTTGACTCTTAAACTGGTAACGAGTATAGAATGTATTCCCCGAGGAATTTTCTTTAAGTTCCCATTCCCTGTAGCCCTCTTCTCTTTCTCTGAAGAGGAAAACTGTATCCCTTTCTGGGAGGCAGTTTTCTTCCCACGAATAAAACACTTAATTTTACTGTAATTGGCGTCGACTATATTGTGCTACATTGTTATGTCTAGCGTAGCTTACACAGCGTTTCAGCCCCGCACTTCTGCAAAAGCACGTGGTTTCGTCTTGTGTCTCATTTACAAGCGCTCGCGCATCTATCTCCGAAATAAAAATTGGGTTGTGTGTATGTTCATAAAGCCTAGAGCTTGGCCTGCCTCAGCGGGCGACGAGTTTTCCAGCTGTAGGTGAGCAATTTAGCCAGTGCAGTACACCCGCTAGCCTGGGGTCTTTAACGTGCACCACGCAGTAGTGATACACAACCGCACGCCGGTGCGATGCTCATCCAGATCGAAACAGGCAGGGGTGAGGCTCGAACCCAGGTAACTAGCATTGACAGAGTTGGGGCACTGCGAACGCCACGCTAGCCTTGACAACGTAGCACAAAATAGTTGCCGAGTATTAGTGGCGAGATGTTTTGGTGGCGCCCTCCTGTGGTTCCCTCTCCTAATGTCATTAGCTCGCAAACAACAATCAAGCTCCCACCAGCATGGTGGAAGCTTGAAATCATTGCTCTTTTAAAGGGATGGTGAACCGAAATTTGGATTTTAAAAAAACAATGCTGGGAGATGTAGGCGAGACGCTACGATCCCTACAACACTACTAGTAAGGCGATATCTCAAATGGACGGCCGTATTTGTGGAAAAAGAAGTCGAGATTGAACCAGGCCGACGAGGCGCGTGACCGTCAAGATACCTAGTTTCCTCCTCTCTTCGCTTCGCTCCCTCAAGGCCGCGAGGCGGAGAAGACGCGAGGCCGTTCCCTTTCCTTCTCGGAGAAACATGACGTCAACATTCCTGCCAAATGCGCATGTTTTTTTGAAAAATACGGTCTTCCGTTCGAGATAACGCTGTATGAGTGATGTTTTGGTGTTTGTAGCATCCCGTTGCACGTTTTTGCCTCGTGTATTGGGGAATCCAGATTTCGGTTCAGCATCCCTTTAAAGCAACACTGTAAACACCGTCAGTCAGTCAGTCAGAGTATTGAGAGGAGGAAGACAAGTCCTGACATTCCTGTTATTTCTGACGATGAGAAATCCTTTGTCGACGTCATAGTCAGCATTCGGCCAATCGTAGCAGGCCGACCATAGGGACGCTTTCGATCATTCACGTTGCCAATAGACAGTTGCAAGCAAGGCGTCTGGCCGTCGCCATGTCTCCGCTCGTACGGGAGAGCCAGTGTACTTATAAGCATGTTAAAGCTATCTTCACGTGTATGCCTCACGTGCTTGCACGCATGGGGCACCAGTCGAGGCGGTATGCTTGCAATTGTTTGGTAAAACCTCTTATTTCGGTGGAATAAAAAAAAATTGCATTCTTACAGGAGGGAAGACATTCTAGCATCCTGTTATTTCTGCCATTCATTATCGAATTTGATTTTTCGCGATGTCAATTATTGTGTTTCTGCTCGGAGAAACACACTTCCCACCAAAAAAGTTCTGTCTTAGGCCGCTATCACGTACTCATTTCAAGAATGCGAGACTTATCAAAATAGGACTAAGAACATTTTTACAACATTTTTTATTACAGTGGAAATTGTGATTCGTCGGCTCTAATAAAAGACCTGCCCACGAGTTCAGTTAAAAGGCGTCCACTTGCGACTCTCGCATACACAACCACGCAAATGATATACACACAAAACTCTCTGCTTTTTTTCTAATATTTTTTTATTGTTGCGCTAGTTCAGCACAGATGCAAAAAACACGCACTTAGCGACATCCAGGCCCCTTCTTCTTCATTTAAAACCCGCAACAGTCAATTACTAACACCTTTTGTAACTTCATCGCGTGCTATTAGTGTCGGCCATTCAACGCCAGCTTCGGCCATTTTAGCACTTTCGACGATCACTACGACCGACCGCTACGCTCACCGACAGCTTCAGAAACGCAGGGCGTGGCGAGGCCCCGAGCGTCTCATTATCGCTCCTCAACCAGTCAAACTGCAGCATTTGTCGATAAGAACACCAAACAACCAATCACGAGGCGTGAATATAATAGGCCCCACCTCGGTGTTCTTGAAGCTGTCTGCGACTACACGTCTCTCGCATCACACTTGAAGCTATACTAACGCATGCAAACGAGGAAAGTAAAGCAGACTGTGAAAAGAGGGACCATCTGACGGCGTTTGCAACATATTTCGTACTTTCGTTTTTTCTTTTAAACGGCGCTATACGCTACACGTAACAACTACATAGTCTTGTACCTCTGGTCGATGTGAAAACAAAGGCCGAAGGAAAACGATCACGCGGCAAGGACCTAGAATTCGCAGGGTTCCTGCACGAAGACCCTAACCGAGATCTTGTACAGATGTGTGAAAGTATACGGCCTCTGGGCACCGCCATCTTACTACTGGCGTGGGTAGATCGTCTGATATAGTCAAGCATCGCTGAGGCGCATACCCACGGTTTCCAGAATGAAGCCCAAAACAAAGCGTTTTTTTCCTTCCACGGTGGCCAGATTTTAGCTCTCGAAGCGCGGATGCTTGCAAGCGTCGACGCGCACATAAACACGGCCGCCGCCATTGTAACGTTCTGTTTACAAACAAGCCGGCGTTCTTGCCACACCAGGTGTGGGTCACTGCGCGTGCGCAGGAACCGGGTTCCGGTGAGAGGGACCACTGCAGCGGCGTGACGTCGGAGGGTCGAATTGCTGCGCACAGGTGGTGGTGGTGTACTCGGTTTCACTTCGAGCACGACCGCAGCCGACGTTACGACCCGAGTGGCGCCAAAAATGCGTTGTCACGGCACTCGTTGTCTTTGTGCATTTGCTGTCACCGGCTAAACCATTCACGCAGTGATAAATAAAAACGCAGGATCGCGGCAAAATTACTGCCCGTATTCGGTTTTATCCGTAACGCCAAACGTACAAAGCCTCAGTAAAAGGTGATGAGCGGACGTGACGATCCACTTTTGCCGCAGCTTGATTGGCTTGATTGGATCATATACCGTCGACTGCGGTCCGAGTGAAACATTGTATGGATCACCTTTTTTTCCATAATTGGCTTCTGCGCGCTGCCATCTTAGTCTACCGGGCTGCGAAAGGCGGCCTGTCATAGCTCTCTTCCGCGAAAGATGAGACGCCGCGCACTTGTCGAGCCCGCCCACGTGGGCATTTTTCGCCCGGGTGAAGAGCACTGGAAAGGTGTATATAAACTTCTTTCGAAAGTCATGTGCCGATTATTAGAAGGTCGGAACCACTGCACAATGGCGGGCGCAACACCTGCATCAAGCAACTTACGAGTCATTCCATAAGATAGCGAAAGTAGGAGCGCGGCCAACGCTGCGAGCCGACGAGCCAATCAAATAGCGTCGAAAGTGGAACGTCACTGCGCTCATCTGCTTTTTTTGTGGGTGTTTTTTTTTTTTTTTTTTTTTTTTTTTTCAGTGTGCCGTGACGTTGAGGTTTTTGTCCGCCATTGTGCAGGGATTCGACACCTGCCAACAGAGGGCAGTGTTTCGAAAGGGGTCTACAGACCTTTTTCGTGTACTCTTGTTTCCAGCCACCTAATAGGCGTATCCGGTGTGGGCGACAAACAAAATAATAAAACGTTTCAATCTATAAATAGTAAACTAATAGAAAGGAAGCAAAACGAGAACGTGTGACGGTTACGCTTATATCCTAAATGTCTTCTATTAGCGTGGCGACGGCAAAACAGTGTTTTCCCCCAGACTGGAAGTGACAACGATTTAAGATGGCGGCGACCTCGCGAAAAAGGTTTATAGAACGGGCTTGCTCAAAACACAAGAGACCATCCAATGACGGTGTCACTCGAACGCGCTCTCGTTGAAATTAGGTGCGAGACTGGCGCCACGACACAAATAGCGTGCGAGGACTGCTCTCCTTTTGCCTTCCGTCGCTTGGAGGAAGTAGCTGCCACTTTGTAACCGAAGCGAATTCAAATACGCGCACTCTAAAAGAAAAACGTGAGTTCACTTTTTTGTAGAACAAACAGATAGTCTCTTCGTCATTTGCCGGGACCCTCGTATTGTTTGCCGTGATTGACCGCTAACGTGTTCAGCAGTCAAGTGAACTCACAGACTTCTTTTTAGACTGTAGGCCGAAAGCCAAGAATTCGACGATTCCGCTGCAGTGCCTAGGCCTTCTTCTTGGCTTCTCGGGCCTGGGCTTCCCTGGCCTGTGCCTCCTGGCGCTCGTACGCCTGCTTGTCGTAGCCCATCTCCTGGTAGAGCTCGTGCAGGGGCTTGACGAGGGTGATGACCACGTCGTCGTCCCTCCGCTGGAACAGCATCTCACCTTTGAAGTCGACCAGGCCGTGCTTGCGAGCGCGTAGCAGGATGCCCACCACCTTGTTAGAGATGGACTGGTACAGCTGCGCGACAACCCCGAAAGCGGCTCGCTGTGGAATCGCTTCTCTCGTACGCATAAGCGCAAATTGAATCAAAACGTTAATTTTGAGCTACACTTCCTATAGAACGCGTCTTCAAATGGTGCGTTTACAGTCCTACCTCCTGTGCTCCACCGTACACACGGTGAAACGAAGTATAGCCGCATTTTGTCTTCACTGCACTCCTCGAACCCGTTAGGATGCGAGAACCAAAACGCCGGACGTCGGCGTTGCGCGTTCGACGAGTGCAGTGAAGGCAAAAGACAGCTATGCGGAGAGCAAGTCGTCTGCTTTTTGCACAGGGGTTCCAGTGACATCAGAACGACGACGATTTCTGATTGGCTTTGAATGAAGGATAGTGGGTATACACCTCACAGCAAGCTGCCTTGAGGTCTACCCACTATCCTTCATTCAGAACCAATCAGAGTTCGGTGTTCTGACGTCACCATAACCCCTGCAAAAGAAGCAGACGAACTTGCGCTCCGCATAGCATCGCACACCCACTATAATCGTTCCAACCAGAGCTCGGCGTCCCCGCGCATTCTCGTCTCCTCGTCTCCTCCTCTCTCTCTCTCTCTCTCTCTCCCTTTCTCTCTCTCTCAGTTTTTCGGCACATATATCAGTCCCTGCAGCAAAGTACGAGCGAACGCGAGTGCCACTGTTGTCGCGGGGACCCTACTCCTGCGGCTGCCGAAACTTTCGCACACTGTCAAGTTGAGAACGGGCGTCTGCCACATTAGCCACCACTGCTGAGGACACCGCCAGGATCGCTGCCGGCGGCAACATGCCCCGCACTTCCTGCACAAGTTCAGAAGAGCGTATAGGGCGGTGCACTCCCGGTCGTATCTCTCAATACTCATACCGGAAGTGCGCTGCCCCACAATTTTCTGCACCGGTGCAGGAGGTGCGGGTAATTCGAACGAGCCTGTATGTGAAGTCACAAGGTGGTCATAATGTAAAAACAGCGCAAACAAACACGGACGAAGGAGAAGAAACACGCAGACGGGACAAGCGCTGACTCGCAACTGAAACTTTATTGCTTGGAAAAGGAAAAAGAAGCAAATAATATAAAAACACACACACCAGGAAGACCCCAAATCAGTACACTCACTCAGACATGTACGTGTCAGCCCCTTCCCCTATCAGCACCATCACATCACCGCGTGGCCAACTTTCACCCTCTCGCGCATAAATTCAAATTCTTTTTGTGAAAGCGTTAATGAGGCCTCACTCACACACCGATCCCCCAGAGTGACAATGTGAAAGGACTCGAGCACTTCTCTCGCCAATCTATCTTTGTTTCGTCCTAATACTGCAGTGTCAGGGAAGGATGGTTTACACTTGCATACGTTGCAGTGCAACGAGAGGTGCCCTCCAACCGTGGCACTAAGGGAGTAGTTATGCTCTCTAAGCCGACCGTTTAAACAACGTCCTGTCTGCCCGACGTAACACTTATTACGCGAGAGGGGGATCTTATAAACAACCCCCTCACAGCATCTCACCGAACGGTTCCGCATGTTTCTTTCTGTACACTCGTTTTGGGTGCCCTTCCGCTCTTGCTTCAATCCTAGAGCAGACCTGTTTAAGTCTGAGGGCGGCTGAAAACACCACCGGTATGTTATATCGGCTTCCGACCTCCTTTGGACTATGGGATATATTGTGGATATACGGGATCACCACGGGCCTTTTCCTTTTCTACGCTGGGCTTATCCACCTGGGATTCTTTAGTCCACTTCAATAATGTACTTGCAACGTCAGACAGTAACGCCGGTGGAAACCCCGCTGCTCGTAACCTTTGCCCCTGTGTCCCAAAGCTCTCAGAAAGCGTATGAGGGCACGACTTATTCAAGGCTGCACCCAAGCAAGAGAGTGCTATGCCCCTCTTAATCAGTTTTGAATGAGCCGACCTGTAATCCAGAAGGCCCTTCTTAGATCGCGGAGAGTAGCACCAACAGATGTGCCCCTCGCTAGAGCGGAGGGAGAGGTCAAGGTACCGGAGAACCCCTCCTTTAGGTACCTCCACAGTAAACCTGAGCCCTCCGCCACACTCCGCAAAAACCGCCATCACCTCATCCACAGACGTCCCAGTGGGGGATCGGTGGCCGAGTGGTCTAGCGCACACCAGCTCGGAGCACGTGGAGCGAAAGCTCGCGCTGCAGAACCCAGGGATCCTGGGTTCGAGCCCCACCCCTGCCCGTTTCGATCTGGATGAGCATCGTACCGGCGTGCGGTCGTGTATCACTACTGCGTGATGCACGTTAAAGACCCCAGGCTAGCGGCTGTACCGCACTGCCTAAATTTCTCATCTACAGCTGGGAGACTCGTCGCCCCTGTGAGGCAGACCAAGTTCTAGGCTGTATAAACACACACACAACCCAATTTTTTAGACGTCCCAGTCACGCCCCCTCCGGCACAGTCCTCGTGGAACACTACAAAGTCATCGACGTATCTGACTACTTTTTTAACCTTGGTGTTGCATAGAGACCTCTCTATACCACGGTCTACTTGCGCCAAGAAAATGTCACTTAAAATGGGAGCCACACTCGAACATGCAGACTCCCGCTTTTTGCAGAAAGCACCGATCACGCCACCCTACCACCGTCGATAGCAGGTAGGACTGCAGCAGTTCCAGAAAGCTATCCAGCGTTATACCACTTGAGTTCCTGAAGGAAAGTTCCCCCGTCAGACTCGATGCACGCTTCCACTGAAGACATTAGTCGGTCGTGGGGGAAAGGGTAGAAAAGTTACTCCATATCCACGCTGAACACACCGCAGCCCCTGGTATCACACACTTTCAGGAAATCCGCAAGCTTCTCGGAGTTCGACACCCGAAATGGGTCTCGGATGCTAAGGGACGACAACTTCCCTTGAAGGTAAGTTGACACCTGTCGTTGCCATGTCTCTTTTTCAGTGACTATAGATCTAAACAGGCAAGCTTCTTTGTGGGTCTTGGCGGTAAAGAATACCTTTAGGTGCAGCTTCTCCGCCTTGCCTATTCTTTTCGCCAACTGGGTGAGAGCCAGGCGCTCACACATTTCCTTCGCCCTGTCCCTGGTTTTCTTCAAGTGAACTTCCACGCCCCTAAAATTCTTCTCCAGCGCTTTAATCGCTTTCTCGTTGAACACGCCCTCTGGCAAAACCACAAAGGACCCTTCTTCGTCCGACTGCACAACTCTCTGCTTGTGTACCACCATGAAATCAACCAGGGGCCCAATTGGATCCCCCCTTCCTCTTCCTCTCGTGCTCAGGAGTGCATCCACGCATTCCGCAACACACCGTGGGCGCTCTGCTTCCAAGGCTTTTTCCGCAACTGTTTTCCCCAAGGACACCAACTCGGATGGGCTCAAACGAGGTTCATAGCAGAATTTGGGACCCAGCCCCAAAGGCTTACCCAATTCAGAGGGAACCTGGACATCACCCAAGTTGATGAAGGTGCCAGTCGAAGGTGTTGCCTTTTCCTTCTTCTCTGGCAGCCTCAGCCGGACTCCCTGCCACAGGAACTCAGTCACGTAACCCGCAGTCTTGCTCAAGTCCGCGAAGAATCTCTGTTGACGTTCAGCACTTCCTCCGGCGCGAAAACATGCCCCCCTCAGGCCGTCTCTAAAAAGTGTGTGTGTTTTTATATTATTTTCTTCTTTTTCCTTTTTCAAGTAATAAAGTTTCAGTTGCGAGTCAGCGCTTGTCCCGTCTGCGTGTTTCTTCTCCTTCGTCCGTGTTTGTTTGCGCTGTTTTTACATTATGATCAACGAATACCAACTCGCCCAACTCTCGACATTAATTCACAAGGTGGAAATCGATCCGGACCGCTTTTGAGAAAGGCGGTAAAACATACCAGCACGGAGACGCCTTCCAGACACCATAGTGCCGACGCCCATCTTACCTGGAAGAGTTCCCCGAAGGTGATGGACACCGTCCCGTCGTCCTGGGCGGTGCCGAACTCGTGCAGGTTCTCGCAGAGCACGCGGATCTCGCTGCTGATCAGGGAGCCAGCCTGCTGACCGCGCTTCTCTGTCTTGGAGCCTTCCACGGGGTGTCCGTACCTGCGTCGGTATCGCGCAGGGCCGTTTTAAGCTGAGCCTGTCTATATACCAGGGGCGAGGATAAAAATCAATGATCTAAAATTCCAATATACTTAGGTAAACATTTATATTGCACCGATGTGTCTATAATGCTTTAAATCCAACACTTTTCCCAAAATAATACTCAAAATATTTTTATTTTCCGTTTGTCTATCAGTATTTCTTTCCGTTCCCACGGGCATTTATTTCGTATTTGAAGCAAAAAATGAACAGGCAGGACATGTTTATATAAGACAGTCATTAAAAAAAACATCTCGTAATAAAAAAGTCACTCTTTTCTAACTGTAGGTAAGTAACCGGGTAAGTTTGATTCAAATCAAATAAACCTAATTTAAAATTAAAAAATCTCATTTCTCTTATTCAAAATATGACTTTTTTCCCCCTTCTATATATTATACCCAGTTCATCCCCAAGCGAACAGTGTGGAGGAAATTGGAACAGTCATACGTCCATATTTCGCCACATGATCACGCTCCCGTTCATACCGACGTGGGGAAAGCGGTTTCAAATGATGAAAGGGCTCGTGTCTGTCTTGTCCTTCTTTCTTTTGTCCTCGTCCAAAAAAGCGCTACCATGCCTTTGGCAACACAAGACCAATACCAACTAGCCCAGCATACAGCTTTGATAAGATGAAAGGGAGGCAGTTGGTTGGTCCGGCCAGCGCATCATCGCTCCCTCCGTACTGTCGACTTACAGGTGGATTCGTAGTCATAGTACCAATAGACTCTTCGAGGCTCATCGCGTCGAACGCCGGCTGCGTGCGCCTTTTGGGAGCGGAAAACTAAGGAGGCATAGGGCCATTATGGGGAAAGAAAGGGGTAACCGAAATGAAATGTTTGCCTTCGAGCACCAGGGCACAGCTCATTCCGGTTGAGAGTTGGTGACCAAAAAATGGCTTAGGAAGACGCACGAACAGCCACCGGTTTAAATCAAAGGGAACAAAAAATCGCGACAGCACTTTTAGTGGCGTTTTGGCAGACAAACTCGCGCACTCTGTACTGCGCGTGCGCAATCCCCAAAGGCCCTGCTTTGTCGACACTATTTCAGCCATGCTTTATGGGCTTCTGGCACGAGATCGAGCGACGAGAGCAGGGAGTTGGAAAAGTAAGTGAGATTGGATAAGCCAACAGCTTCTAGATGGCAATGGTGTAGGGCTGAATTATCCACTTTATCTGCCAGAAGTCAACCAACACCACCCAGATTAATCAAATTCTGCGAACACGCTATGTGGAGCGTAACTTCGTCTGCTCCTTTTGCGAGGGTTTTGTTGATGTCAGAACGCCGAGGTCTGATTGGCTCTGATTGAGAGATAGTGGGCAGACCTCAAGGCAGCTTGCTTTGAGGTCTACCCACTGTCCTTCATTCAGAGCCAATCAGAGCTCGGCGTCATTCTGACGTCACCACAACCCCTGCAAAAAAAGCAGACGAACTTGCGCTCCGCATACGGGCTAACGGAACCAATAAAGCAGCGTCAAAATCGCAAGTCACTGGGCCATTTCTGTTTACGATTGGTTCAACAACGATAGAGAACGTACGTAAACATGACGAACACCGTGATCGTACGCTTTTGACGCTGTTCTGATATTGGTGCCATCAGATCGTAGCGTCGGCTGCGATACAGCCTTTCCAGCGCTATCACCAAGGCGACAAATGCTGGATCACTGGGCTATGAACGCCATGCGCGGCTTCCGATATTCCGCAAATAGAGCTACTGCACATGCCCAGAAGGCGTTCCACACGCTAGTAAACAAAGATGGCAGCAGTCTTTTCCCACTGCAGGACTCTTCCGGGGCTCTGTCTGGCAGACGGGAGCACGGTGGTATATGATGCCTGGAGCGCGTCTCCGACTGGATGTGTTTACCTCCCCCCCCCCCCCCCCCTAAAAAAAAAAAAGAAAAAAAGGTGGTCTTTTGATTTTGACCGGATGACATCACAGATGACATCACGCTGCTGCTTGGCGCGATCCTGGACATCTGACAGCGTGGCACGGCGCGACTCCTATGACGTCAGCTGTTTCCACATCGAGACCGTTTTCGATGCGTGCTGCTTTATATATAGGACTCTATAAACACACCGGTTGAAGGCGAGCGTTCCTGGCATCGTATACAAAGCCGCAGTCCTCCCACGGCTCGTACAGCGTACTAAAGACACGGTCTGCAGACACGAAGATAGAATTGTACGCGGACACGCTTGGAGCATTTTTGGAAGCATATGTTTGCTTTGCACGTAGGTATACACTTGGTACAGGTCTACAAACAGACTTTGTGTACGACCAACGTGACAAGACCGTCTACGGGGAAGACCTCAGACAGTCTCCACGGACGGTTTTTTGTGGCTCAGTTACGGTGGTGACAGTACATAGAGTGAGTGACCCCACCTGGGGTCGTCCTTGGACAGCGCCTCCCTGTGCGATGCCCCTTCCCACTCGGAGAAAGGGTTGTCCATCTGGCCCTTCTGGTGCTCCTCGGCCTTCTTCTGGAACATGGCCACCTTGGACGAGAGCGCCGGACGCCCGAACACCCGCACCTCCTTCTTGGCTTGCTCTTCCTCCGACATCCTACGGTACTGCGTCCCGCTCGCTAGGCCTAACGTGGCGGAAGCGAGGAACGAAACGAGGCTAATGTGAATCAGAACAAAAAAAGAGATGCTTTCCATATCCAAAAGCCCAGTATAACTTTTCATTATCTGGATTATGGAACTCGAAATCTGACTGGAATTGTTTCTGGATTGCGGACGAAAGAATTGTTTCTAAAAACCCTAAATCCAGGTAGAATCCAGATAGAATTGCAGTTCGATAATCCAGATAGAGAAAACATATACTGAACTTTTCGGTAGGGTGTGTTAAAATATAATCACTGCTCGACAGGAATGGGCAGTAATTGAAATGCGACTATTTGAAAAACGTGTATTTCGAAAAAGCCTTGAAATACGGGGTCTACATAGGTATCCAGGGGCGTATTTGTCGATCGTATTTAAAGACTCAAAAAGTTCAGCAGAACCTAATGAAATACAATTTTGGGTCTTGTTTTTTAGAACGTGAAAGTAGATTAATCGTTTGGATATTTATACACGTGAAGGGTTGGTCTGCTTTGCCATATGGCAACACTGCATTAGAAAAGCCCTTTGCTAGCGCAACACGGCTGCTAACCTGCGGTACTTGACGTACACTTCACGATAGTGTTAGTGCGAACGAGCGATCTTCAGTTTCTTTCTGCTTTTCTCGTTAAATTGAACTGGCATAAAAATGACTGGTACGGCGGAAAGTCCTTGTTCGGGGCAGTAGCTAAAGTGGATTTTGCGATCCTCTTTTTACGGCGCCAACTCAATCTGCACGCTCGAAGCATCCTATAAAACCCAGAATCGCAGTCACACGTGGCCTTTTTGGCCCCTAAAAACGCAACCTAACACTGCGACACGCCCCCTTCTGAAATGTCTCAGAAGAAGGGGTCGTGCTTTTAATATGAAAAAAAAAAGGAAAAAAAAAAAAAAGACCCGCATGTTTTGAATATCGGGCTTTCTATGATACTTATGCCCAATAGATTGAGTTTTCGACAAGAAAGAAAGAAATCTCAAATTCCACTTCAGTGCCCACAAACACTTCGTTTCAGCAAAGAGGCAGAAAAGCGCCGATGTCCTGTTCCCTCCGACTGTGTCGCGCAGTGCCAGCCAGGCAGTAATAACATCACTCGATATCGCATGCCGGCACGATGCTCATCCATATCGAAACTACCAGGAAGTCTGATTTTCCCTTATGTTCTCTTTGTCCCTGGTTTCCCCTTTTCATCCTTTCTTGTTCAAATCATATATAAATGAATTCTGTGGCAATACAATTTCAGCTGTGTTTGAGACTTCTTTCCTTCTTCCTGTCGTTTTTTTTTTTTTTTTTTCTGTCGTTGCCGCAGAATCGGGTTCACACTGCCCCATTATCTTACGTTAAGTTACGTTACGTATAAGTCACCCAAACATTCATGTCTCGAATGTCGCGTGTTATGCTTTCTCCTTGAACTGGTAGCCTCGCTTAATACGAAGCACAGAAGTCCCGGTGACTTCAACGTAATACTTCGCAACCCAACTTAACGTAAGAAAATGGGGCAGTGTGAACCGGCCTCACACCAGCTCATTTGCGCCCTCGCGCTTGGATTCCTGGGTTCTGCAGCGTGAACATTCGCTCCACGTGCACCGTGCTGTTATGTGCTAAAACACTAGGCATCCAATCCCCCCTGGGCGATGCGAGCTTTGTATGTCGAGAGCGTGACTCTTTCCGGGGTTCGATCACAGTACAACATGCAACAAAGAAATGGTACGAAACAAAAAAAAAAGGCGGGCAGGTAGCCAAGTGGTGAAACCACTTAATGTTCCTTTTGGGCTCCGTTTATTTTTCCCTTTCTTTCCAACTTTCCAATTGCTGCTTGTGAGAGAGCTTTTCAGGTTGGAGCTTTCTTGGACTTCTGTGGCCGCCACGTATTTTGCTCCTCCACGAAGTTCATGTATTGACGAACGCAAGTGGAGAGTGATAAACAACTACGCGACGTCCTCGCCTTTCTGGAGCGTTTTTGTTTCCTTACATACTTGAGTAAAAAAAGGGTCCCTTGTCCTGCACGGATTGCTTACTCCTACAGAAGATTAATTCGATTGTATTTCTTAGCTTACGTAAAGTTAATTGTATCATTAAAGTTTCTATTTATTTCTATGCTTCCCGTAACACAATATAGACATCATTCTTTATTTACGCATTGACTTCTTTTTTTTTTCCTTAAACGACGTTTATTTTAAGACTTATATATCAAGCTACGGGACCCAGATGCATTTGGAAACATATTTGGAGAAAATTAAGTGTCTCTCGTGTATTCACATTTCGCATTTAAATACGAGGGCCGATTGAAAAATAACGAGACCGACGTTTTATTTAGAATTAGGTGCCTCTACAGGCTCTGATTATTTCTCCTTTTCAAAGTAGCATCCTTCGCGTTCAATACGTTGGTTAGAATGTTTAAAAAAAAACAATTCGAAGAAATGTAAAATAACGTTTTGCGACATCAGTGTCAAACACTGCAGTCAAATTTTTTTAATTGTTTAGAATTTACGCAACAATAGGTTCAGGCTATATGAAGAATGTTACAGCGCAGTTGCTACTCATCAAAGGTTAACGCAAAATGCAGTCACGTACCTCTGCCGTACTCTCACAAGCACGTGCTCGCCATCCACCATCACGACACGCTTTCCCTTAAAGACCATGATGGTCTAACTACAGGCTCAGGCCTGTACATGCATACTACATTAAGAAACATCAGCCTAATACGAAAGAGAAGCAGCCTTATTACTGACTTTTTAGTCAGTCCTCGTACTTCTTTACACATTGTGACAAGCTTTTGTAATTAAACACTTCATACCTTATATTTGTATTACGATAAGTTTTTTGCGAGTGTTTTGCCTGTCCCTGCCACCCCGCGGGTGCAAAGCACAGGACTACTTCAAATTAGCTTAAGACGAGCCAACGAAGAAAAAGCACGCCAAACAGTGCACGCCAAAATCTTTCAAACCGCAAAAAAAAGGGGAAAAAAACCATTTTGTAAACAGTGTATGTTACTGGTTATTTATCACCTAGAACAACGGAAAACTTATCCTCTTTACTACTCTGCAAAAAGAAGAAGCAATTGGTCTTTAGATGCGTAGGCAGCGTGGCCCTTGTCTGTCAACGTTTGACGACATGTGCACGCTGAAAAATTTAGCTAGTGCGGGGGTGCGACTGCCAGCCTGTAGTGATACACGAGCGCACGCCGGTACGGTGCTATCCAAGCAGATAAGGCTGGTGATTGAACTCACCATCCTTGGGTTCAAATTAGATTTTGCTCCACCTCACACTACCGTGTTATTTGTTTTCGTGGCCATAATGTCATATTTCTCTTACAATGTTTTCTTAAACTATTTCAATCTTGGCGACTGTGTGGCAATGTTCTAAATTAAAGTTGCCTGCCACAGATCTATAGCTGTTCGTGCGTTTGACATTATGCGGCAAGTATGGTAGCTGAAATAAAATGCGCGCGGAATTCTTCTAAGTCTAATATTTAAAAGAGGTTTCTTCCCCTAAGATAAGATCCAATAAATAAGAATAAAATACGTAAATTCCACTGCTTTAAGTGTTGTATTATTTTCTGCAATTTAAAAAATTGTGTGCCTGTTCTTAGGACGGCTATAAGAATAAAAAAAAATCCTCTTTAAAGCGACACTGACAGGGTATTTATGCTCGCCAAAGTTTCTATTTGTACATACACAATTTGCGGCTCGAAATTCGTTTTCTTTACGCCCGAAAACCGCCGATCGAGAACTGGCCGATTCGAGTCGCTCTCACTTTCTTCTCCCTGGTCACGTGCCGATCGCTATGGTTTAGACAAAACCACCAAATATAATCAAAGTTGTAATCGAGACACGTGCTCAATATTAGAAATATAAGAAATTGTACAAATATTTGTGTGCCTTTTTAAAACCGGCAAACACGTTGATTAAAAAAAAAAGTGGCACAGCCACGTGATTCTTGGCACTCCCTCCTCTATATTTCATCTTCCTTCCCTGTCCAGTTTCCGTTTCGGTTTCGAGCAGTTTTTTTTTTTTTTTTTTTTTTTTTACTTTGTTAAAAATATACGTGACTCAATAGCAAAATATTGATTGGGTAGTCTTCTGACACCGTAATAAATCGCCTGACAAAAAAGAATTTAAAAAATTTAGGGAAAAAAAAAGGGGGGGGGGGGGTGGCGGCGGGGTTCAGGGGTGTCAGTGTCTCTTTGATAAAGAACTCAGTCGCGTGTAGGATGATGGGCGAAGGAATGGTATACACTATATATATATAAATTGGCGGAGCCAACTTTCGGCGGGTTCCTGGAAACTTTGATTCTTTGATTCATTGGATTAAGTACGGTTCATTCATCTGCACATATCAGTTCATATATATATATATATATATATATATATATATATCAGTGTGTCGAACCGAAAAAAATACGAGTTCGGTTACGTTTCAGGTTCAGGTAAATTTATTTTGTTCCGGTTCAGTTCCGGTTCGATTAATTCGATCCGCGAACCGGTTCGCGAACCGGTTCGGGGCGCTGAACTGGTTCGCGAACGGGTTCGGGAATTATAAATGACAAATTACAACATCAAAATAAATTACAAATAAAACATCTGAAATCAGCACATACGAAACGGGATACATCGTAGTGTAAGGCTCAGGGATTTCTACCAGGAATGGTTTCTTTATGTGCACTCAAAGGTTACCTCACCGATGTTTACGCATTCGGACTTCATCTAATTGGGTCCCACGCAGTAGCTGTAAAATCCGCGACCTCCTTACAAACCCACTTACAAGTAGAACTCGCTAACTATCGCGCCGCCTCGGCGTGTAAGCAATTGAAGGAACGGTGGGGAAAAAATACAGCTTTCTTCATTTGAACTAGCCTTCGATAACTCAAATTAGACCCTTAAAGAAGTTTTCATTAAACAAGGTACGGAATATGAAAAACACTTCACCGAACGCAACGCCAGAAGGACGTAATAGGATAAATATTAAAATAGAAGAGTTCGCTGTCTCACA